AGTTTGTTGTTGTTACGAAAATGCTACAAAGACTTAAAAAAAAATAATGCATTGACCTCAAAGTCTAATACTCCTGAGATTAAGAACCAAGTGTCTTACTTTCTTAAATGGACGTTGAGCCAATAATATATGACAGTGTATAAACCAAATAATGCCTGTTGTCTTGGATCTAAAGAAACCATTGGCAGATCCGCAAACTCACAGCTTTCAGTCTGGGTTATAGACCAGCTCCTGTCTCCAAAAGCCACCTTGCCTGCTGAATTAGAGTGGCAGCCAGCTATTCTGTCTGCATGGGGTGAGAGCCACAACTAGGAGGCTGGCTTCAGTTTTTAGCTCTGTATCACAAAGCTTTAGGAAATCTTGACAAGTATTGTTAAGAAAGATAGATTACTTTTTTAAAAGACAATGTATGAGGGTTCCTCAATGCACACATAATTTACCAAAGTAAGTGCATTTTAGCTGGATGACGGTAGAGGGGTACCCAACCTTCCTATAAGACAAAGAGATGTTGCATTGATCACACACAGTGCCCTGACAGGGAAGGACCTCTGTGGTTCATTCACTCAGCATGTACATTTTAAGACTCTGCAACAGAATGCCAGCAACTCTGAGTCAGGCCTTTCTTACAGCAGAGTCCCATCCCAGGGGACTAAAGAGCTTAAAAAGTAGGGAAGATGCCATATTCTGACATAATACAGCTGTGTGTAAACAGGGAAGGGGCAAAGGTGACCGGGGCAGGAAGCCCAATGGCCTCTGAAAGTCAAAGGCACAGGTCACATGGCCTTAAAGCTTCTTGCAATGTCAAAGAAATAACTCCATCAGCAAAGTTCATTAATTTGTTTAGGAAATTGTTTTATTAATGTTGGAACATTACTAATGTTCAGTAAACTATTGAGTAATAATCACATAGATTATTTTAGTACCACATGTTAACTTAGCTTCTCTCTTACTCCAAAACAGGCCATGTTTTGTTTGTTTTGTTTTTTTTAACAAGAGCAAATAAATCAGGTGACATAACTTTAATAAATTAAAGGATTAAATAAATGCAAATGACATTCTACAATTGGTGTCCGTGGATTGGGAACTGATGGTGTGGACCAAAAAGATTTAATAATTACTAAAAATAAATGGTTCTTCACTTTTCATTTGTGAATAAAACAGTTTGTAAACTATTTCTTTCAAAAATCAAAGTTCCAGTTTTGTATATAAGTAATTATTTTGCTCTATTAAGTGATGATCTTTCTTTTTATGTGTAATATAATTTCTTACCTTCCTTGTTTTGCTGGAAAGCAAGCATTTTAACCATTAGAGACTGTAGACCAAGAGCTAAGTGATCCTCCCAGAACTGGTTATCTATGGGTCTGAGGGCCCACTGAAATTATAGGCAGAACTATTAAACAGGATAGTTTCAGCAGTTCCCCAAAGTGACCCAGAGCTCAAACCCTTTTAATGCTATTGTTATAACACAGAACACAAGTGAACGAAGTCATTACTACTCGAGGTATGCAGTATGAGTATTAATTCCTGTAACACCACACTGGAACATAGTAATATGCATGGTACATGCTAAATTTGATCTGTCTCCTTGGATGCCAGATGGCCTAGAATAAACATTGTGAATAGTAATAGTTAACTATGGAAAACAGAGTCAAACTCACTAAAAGAGCAAAACCTCTTTAAACATTTCAGGTACAAAATTTAGTTCTAATTTTGGACAATTTTCAGTAGAACTTGTCTCTTAAACTTGATGGCTAAAGATAGAACTTAAAGCTTACCATGGGGCTGTGATTGAGGATTTATACACTAAATGTCTGCTTATTGATTTCAACATTTGCATTGCCTAGCACAGTGGGTAAGATGATAGATTGCCAATCAACCATGTCAGGAAATTATCAAAAGTTTCTATTGACTTCTCCTCCTGAAAGTTCACAAAACTAAAATTAGTACCACACTTGATTATGACCATGTGAAACCTTCAGGATCCGTAAGTTGAGATTCCTTGTATTTGTAAGTAATGACATTTACCGGCATTCTCTCTTTCTATATCAGAATAGTGAGGAATCTAGACCAACCATTTGCCTAAAATGGAGCAAATTAAGTCACTTTCTTTCATTAAATGTTTATTCCGAGGGTAAGAGTTGGATAAATGCTAAATCCATGAAACCATTCTGTTATAAAATTTTATCAGTATGCCTTAAAAATTTGGTTAAGTGAACTTTTCAAAAAAATTAAAATAACTTTCAAACAGATATAAGTATACAACAGCAGTTAGAAGTTTATTAAAGCAAAATTTTCCAAAAGATAAAATTGATTCTTAGGCAGATATAAATATGTATAAAAATTTTTATTCAAATAACTACAGCATTACTACAATGATAAATTCATTTAAAAATATTTCCAAAGCCAAATATTTATACTCCATATTATAAGATAGTTGGAGTAGATATAAAACTGGTTAGTGCCCAACTTGGTAATAAATTTTAACTATTAAGGTTGTTTCTCCCACTAGAAAAAGAAATTGTATTTCTATGGAACAGGAATCTACATGATAATCTCTTCCCTAAAATCCTGTTCAAAAGCCATTCAGTAGAAAATTAAGCCCAACAACTATAAGAAAATGTCAAAATCACATTACGCTATTTCCAAATAAGTTTTTTGACAAGTCAAAATGTCTCTCACAAAGTGAAAGTTCTTATATTTTGATGGTCTGTTTTGTTTTCCTTTTGTTTTTGAGATACGGTCTGATTAGTCCAGGCTACTTCAAACTTGAAGTGGCTCCAATTCAACTCTTCAGTGCTGGGATTTGAAGTACATGCCATCATTCCCTCTATAAAACATCAGTGGAGAGCAGTCAATCTCTGCTCGCTATATTGTCCAGTGGGACTCCAATGGCTTGGGCTCAAGCCATCATGGTGCCACAGGCTACTGAATACCTTGGACTCCCCTAGCTTGATTCTTAACTATATTGCTTAATTTTTAACCAAAAAAAATATCAAATTCATTTTCATTTGATCCATATATAATTTCAGTATATTTTTCAGACTATCACATTAAATGTGACTTACTTAAGTCTGTGTTCAAATAGACATTAGGATTTCATGAGGCAATGTGCAAATAAATTTCTATCTAGATATTTTATTCATTACATGTAATGCAATGCATATTTAAAGGTACAGTAGAATAAACACATTATTATTCAAGTCCGGAGATATAAATATTTTAAGAATAAGTCTAGGATATTTTACACTTTGATCAGTTCCCTAAGTACTTAACAAACTTATTAAATATAAATAATAGGACGGAGACTTTAAACATACTGTAAGGCTCATGTCAACCATAGAAAGTTAACCAAAAATTAAATCTCTTCCTAAGATATATGGCATCTGTTAACTAATTTTTTTGCCAACCTTATAGTACAGTACTTATTAACACCAAGAGAAAGCATAGTGATCATGAATTATGATGTCAAATGCATGCATACATGATCCAGGCAGACATCTCAGCCTTAAAATTGTCTCTTTCTTCATTTGTCTCTTTTTTTCACACTCCTTCCAACAAACAAACATTGTTTGTTCTGTTTTCCAGTTTAAGCAGAATATTTGCTTATCCAAACAAAAGACAATATAAAGCAGACAGAGATTGGAGTGAACTGTTCCAGTGGAGAGGGGGAAGCTGCTGTATGTAGCCTTTGAAAATTCATGTATAAAAAAAGAAAAAAATGTAACTTTAATTTGTAACTTTTTATTACAGAGTCTAAGATACATTACATTTTTGTATCTGCTAAAAGAAAACATGGCACAGGAGAACAAGCTCTTGTTCATGAGCCAAGGTAAATTCTTCTATTTTAAATCTGTTATAACAGAGCAAATAAACCACATAATGGGATAATGCAAACCAAATCACAGTAGAATTTGAGCACATCTGAAATGCACAAAATATTCTCATCATTTCAACAAAGGAAGAATGCTACTTATTAAAATTCAAAAGTTGGCTTGCAACTATGATTCAAAACTAATATACCATTAATTACTCACTGTTTACAATACAAAATACATTGTTAAAAGGTGACTAGAGGACTGGTGAGGTGCTGGACTGTTGAAAGCACTCATTGCTCTTCCAAAAGACCTTAGTTCAGTTCCCAGAACCCAAGTCAGGTAGCTCACAACTGCCCAGAGATTCCCAAGCCCTCTTCTGGCTTTCATGGGTACTGCATACACATGCATGTGTATATACATGTAACACACAAATAAAAAGTAAAAATAATCCCTTGAAAGGAAAATTATAAAAGTAATTAGTGTTCTTGAGCCTTCCATTTAGTATTAAGCATGTTGAAATAACCAGGCAAAAAATATAGTCCAACCCACCTGTGGGAGTCCAGGCTGCTTCAAAGCAATGTAGCCTTAGACACATGAAAGCAAGCTTTTAAGATGCTCACAGTGCCTGAAATTGATACCAAAGTGTGGATGAAATGGTACATTTTCTAAAAATAAAAAAGTATTCATGTATGTATTAGGTCATCTTGACAAGGCATGAGACAACTTGGAAGAAATTCTTTTAATTCTAAGTCAAGTGGCAGGGGGCATTGCAAGTGCTTGAAAGGATAATTAAATGATGATTAACCAAATAAAACTCATAGACAGAAGACAACATGGGGACTCACCAGGGCCAGAGTCATACTCAGGTCACAGTGAAGAGAATGTGACAAAGGGAAAGGGAACACACATGATAATAAACACAGTGCTTGGAAATGAGCCTTGAAAAGCAGAAATGAGAGCGTCAAAGGAGACCTCTCTTTTGGGTCTGTCTTTTATTATAGTTAAAATACTATTAGCTTAAGTTGGTGTGTTTGTATCCATTAGAATCTACACAAATGTTTTCCATTTATGATGTAGCCTAGACTACTATGTTTTTTAAAGTTCACATTGTATTAAATTATTCTTCATCAGAATATAGAAAATGTGCATGTTAGGAACAACAACTGAAAAAAAAGAGAAGACAAATGCAATAAAAATTTATAACTTTTTATTTTTAAGTTTCCAAAGAAAGAAAAGGTCAGTAAACCAGTTTTTATGAAAGAAAGAATACATGTCAGACAGGATATTACTATGTCAACCAGACTGGCCTCAAACTTGGAATCTTCCTTCACAGCTTCCTGGGTGCTAGGAAGTCAGGTATTCATCACCATATCTGGCTAATCAGTCAGCTTTTAAATAAGGAGTAGGAGAGCTAAAAGTGAGAGAGAAATAATTTGTTCTAGATTTGAAGCCTCCCTCCATGTAAGTAGACTACATGATGACCTTGCAGATTTCCCAAGGGCAGGAAGATTCAGAGCATGAACATTGTATGTCTCAGTCCTTCCAACTCAACTAAAAGGTTGGCAGAGGGATTTGGAGAATTATTTGAGATTCAATTTTGCCCAACATATTGTCACATGTTCTCTAGTCATGTACTCTTCTTGAAAAGATTCAGTCACGTGGGTTGGGTTTCACCGAGACTTCTCATATTGATCTACATAATAAGTTTAATATCTGAACTTATTCCTAGATAACAACAGTTGAATCAGGTGAAACCTAATTATACAAAAGAAGTCTTCTATGATTAAAATAAAACTACAGAAATTATAGCATATCCTTTCTAAAATCATTAAAAGTGGACTGGGGTTATGGGCTTAGTCATACAGTACCTACCTAGCATGAATGAAGCCCTGAGTCTGATCTCCAGCACTGCTGGGCATGGTGGCACACATCTTTAATCCCAACACTTGGGAAATGGAGCATCTGAAGATCAAGGTCATCCTCATAAGGAGGTCAAAGCCAGCATGGACTACATGAGACCTTATAGTTATTTTTTTAAAAAGCCAACCAACCAACCAACCAATCAATAGGAACATTAATAGACCCCACAAAATAAATTTTCAAATAGTAACATCATGCCTTATAACTGTTTAGTTTTCTAACCACCAGACATAAATTGAATCAAAATTAAGAGAGCAAAGTGAACTGATATATCCATTGCTACATATGGATATTTCTATGCTGACAGTAAATTCTTAGAAGGAATGAATATGAGATTTTGGTAGATCAAAAATAACTGGTTGTTTATAGACGCTAGAAAATACAACCAGCAGTTTGTAAATGAATCTACTACCATGACTACTTAGAAGGGGTTTCAAGACTTTGGCTTTCACAGCCACATGCCTCAATTTCCTGGTAGAATTGCTTCTGGATAGGGTTGGGAAACTGTTGTAATGATCAACATCAGGGGAATGTCAATAAACTCTCTGCTAGGAGCTGGTCAGATCAGTTAAATGGCATGAGAATGATTTATTAGAAGAGTCAGTGCCTTTGGTTTATATTGCTCTGTCAAATATCATGAAAATGCTTTAACATTAGTGGGAATAATAATTGGAGCCATTGTGTAATAACAATGCTGAGACACACATGTCAGAATGTTAGGCAAAAAACACCATCAGACGTTTTGCAAGCAATATGCTATCCCGAAACTTCTTGAATCTGCATACCTTCAAGTGATGCAAACTTTCTAAACTCTGTTTATGATATGCATCAGGTCAGTTTTGTATATTCAACTATGCTGCTTCACTCCTAGAAACACTTAAGGTTGATCTACTTCATTTAAGAAAAACCAAAGGTCACACATGTATAGCCCTCAAGGCAGAAGACAGTCCTATGTCATTCTTTCATAGGTAATACTTTGACGCCATGTGCATTGATGTAGGTGACAAGGATTCTGGCTCTCTGCTCTACCACATCAATGAGCTTCTCGATGCCTTGCCTGCCTCCTTGACTTTCCCAGTAAACCTTATCAAGGAACAGAGACTGAAGGAGCTTCTGCCGTAAGTGCTGGCTCTTCAAAACAGAAACTGCAGAGTCGGGAAACCTGAAACGATAACACAGTGTTTCACTTAGCAATTGCTCAAAACTGTTATTATTCCTTCCCCCAGGTGCCCTGCCTTCATTAATCTGGCATAAATCACACTAGCAAATAGGACCTTGAGAATGAAATGTTTTTGTCACCGACAAGCAGACACTTCTCCTAAAAATAAAATGCAAGAAAAATGTGTAATTTCGTACTTAAAGGTTGCTACAGACCGGCAAAGAGAGGCACAGAATTGAGATCACATCAGGTCTGAAGAAGTATTTCCTTTCATCTTAAGCTCCATGTGCCCTACAGAAAGTCTTTTATCTGTTTCCATTGGTAACGAGGTGGTTTGGTGAAAGGAAATGTGAGAGTGGAGTATTCTCCCTGAGCAAAACTCGGAGTTTAAAGTGCAATGATCTCAGCCGGGCAGTGGTGCTGCACGCCTTTAATCCCAGCATTCAGGAGGCAGAGCCAGGTGGATCTCTGTGAATTCAAGGCCAGTCTGGGCTACCAAGTGAGTTCCAGGAAAGGCACAAAGCTACACAGGGAAACCCTGTCTCGGGAAAAAAAAAAAAAAAGTGCAATGATCTCAAACTTGTAATAGAACAAAAGAGAAATTATTATTTTTAAAGAAAACTCAATTAGAGAAGAACTCCCTCTGATTCAGATTATACTTTTAGAACTTGAATGACTGCCAATGCTCTTTTTTTCTTTTCTTTTATGGTTTTATTTTTTTATTTTAGATTATAATATAATCATTTCACCTTCCCTTTCTTCCCTTCAAATTCCTATAATCCCTTCATGATCTCTTTCAAATTCATAGCTTCTTTTTCATTGTTATTACATAATATGTATATGTACATACATGCACACACACACACACACACACACACACACACACACACACACACACACACACATATGGTTTTCAAGACAGGGTTTCCGTGTATAGTTTTGGTGCCTGTCCTGGATCTCACTCTGTAGACCAGGCTGGCCTCGAACTCACAGAGATCCTTAGAGTACTGTGATTGGGAGATGGTGGTCCTTCAAGGAGGTGAGGCATAGTAGAGGGTGGGGTCAATGGGGCAGGCCTTGCAAAGGATACTAGAACTCTACCCTTTACTCCTCTCTCTTTCAATTCCTGGCCATGTACTGAAAAGGACCTCTCCAACCTTGATTATAAAAGTCCTGTTCATAAAAATAAAAAAAAAAATTAAAAACCCATTACTCTACTATTGGTTTTTGTTTTATTTTGTTTTGTTTTTTTACATTACACTGGTTAATGAGATGGAAATGATTAATGGAAATGTGGTGGCATTTAGTACCACTAAAGGATCAAACAAACAGTCCAGGTGACTATGGTCTGAAATCTCTAAGGCTGTGAACCATGATATATCTCCCCATTTTGTAAGGTGATCACCTCAGATGTTAGTTACAGTCATGGGAAGCTGGCAACTGTTTTCAAAAAAATTCAGTGAAAGTAAACTTTTGGAGCAAGGACATTCCATGACATCTCACTGGACATCCTGAGGTCACTTAAGAAGGATCTGGCTAAATCGCCTTGAGAGAGTTCACTGAACTTGCTTCTTTCCATGTAGAAGGACTCGAGCCAAATTCCAGCACACACAGAGTCTAGCAGTGTGGACAGAAATCTTAGGAAATGTCTGGTTGAAATCATAGGTTATATTCTGCCACTCCCCCAGCTTGGCCTCATCTAGCTCTCATTAAAATGCTGCTAAATGCACCCTATAATCACTGGGGTTCAAGAGTAACTTTCAAATGAATTCAGTTGTACCTCAAACACTGCATGGCAAGAACATACACTCCAAGAACATACACTCCAAGACAAACTTGGAGACAAGACATGGGATGCATGGACACTAGGAACCCAAGGTCAGGAATTCTGAGGGTGCTAGAAGACCAAAGGTCACAGCACTGAACATACTTATTAAATCTCAGAAATGTGAAGTTAAATAAGGCTTATTGTATATTCCAGGCTCCCCAAAGACATGTACCGTGAAGTCCTGTGGGCTATGAATTAACTAAGCAGCGTTTTTGTATGAAGTATTAATATCCGTAATTGTAACTTCTATAGCCCTTCAACTAATTTAGCTGAGGCAGAACGCATGAAAGGCAAGTATTAAAACCACCAGGCTCTTCAGCCCTGTTCATAAAAGAAAACAACCCATTACTCTACTATTGGTTTTTACATTGTATTGGTAATGGAAATATTCTATGTGTGACTCTGAACTTAGCAAAGACTTCACTTTTGCTTCTTAATGTGTGAAATACATATTCAAAGAAGGTTTAACCTTAAACCCATTACTCCTCATAATGAAGTTAAGGTTTAATCTTCTTTGAAAGAATAAATAAAAGTGTTCATATCTATGTGAATGTTTAAGATAGATAGATGCATGCCCCTGGCACTCTCAATTCTACAAAGAAATTTTAAGTCCTTGTAGTATCAATTCAGCAAGTGACATCTTGGGAATGTCATTTTTCCTATGCATAAATTCTCCTTGGCTTAGGCATTTAAAAGGGAGAACCTACCACGTATTCTGCCTTCAATTCACAGAGACAGGAAGAGCATCAACAGGGGAAGGAGGGATGTGGCAAACAACCTCTCGGGACTCTCAAAACCCATAGGAAGAGGGTGCTTTTTAGTATTGAGAGTGTATATAAAATCCACATTATCTAAGAACCAAGTCAAGGGGAAACAATTGAGAGGTGCTGCAGAGGATCATCAGCAAGTTCTACACTTTTTGTTGTCTTCTTCTGGGTTTGCCTTTGTTTGAGCTCTGGGTATGGAACACCCTGAGCCACACACCTGCCAGCCTAGTAAGAGTAACAGCATTGGAACACAAATACAAGTATCTGCAAGAAAAAGCAGTGGGTGCGGGCTTGGAAAAGCTGAGCTCTACCATGAACTTCAGACTTACTGGGATGTTTCCCGGACATTGCTCAACTCTGAGGGAGCTACCTCTATCTTATGGACTCTGAAGCTTCCAATCTAACCTCATTAGGGGATCTTATTCCTGACTAAAATGGGTAGCAAACGAGGGTGGCTCCACTTACTGTGGAAAGTTATTCACGGCTTACAAAACTGAGGTAGAACTGATAAATCTTTGTAGCCCAGCTCCTGCTACTCAAGAGTCTGAACCTCCTCTATGCACAAATGCATGAGATCAGTGTGCCATGAGACTAAATGTGTTTTCACTTCCGCAGCACAGAACTATCTTCCTTAACTTCACAGCAGCCTCCTCTTGACTCTGTATCCTTTCTAAGTCCTACCAAATGTCTCCTAAATGGTTTCGGTCACTTCTGAGTTTTGGGTCCATATTGAGTACAGCTGTACTTCATTGACTAGCCTCCTGCAGCTCCTCCTCTGTTTAAGACCCAGCCCCAGAGTCTATGTCTACTATAAAGATTTGTGAGTACTCCAAAGTCCTCCTCCCAAGCTTAAAGGGTCTGCTGTCCTCTGGTGCCCTGCTCTTCAGAGAGCTCTTCTCCCACTGTATTCATTTATAGCAGTTATTTGGGTTTATCATGAATCTGACTCCCTGCCATGCTTATTAGTTCTATTGACAGGCCAAATAGTTTATTATGGATTTTGACATCTCTATTGTTCCTCCCATGTCCAATCCTGGGCACTAATAACAGAGCCTCTGCCACCTGATTATCCCTACTCCTGGCAGCCCTGAATCTGTCCAACCTTACCTACACGGGTTTTCACAATGAAGGGTGATCAAGGCAGTGAAGGCAGAAAATGGTAGGAGCTGTGCAGGCATTGTAGACTGTTGATAGGTGCACTGGCTGCTCTTGGAGGGTTATTTTACTTCCTTAGGTCCCTCCCACACCCATAATTTCTTTGGAAATCTATCTAACATAAGGTGTGAGTTTTCATGGAACATTACTAGTTGTTTAACATATATGTGATCATCCAAAATGTCACTTCACTAGAAAATTTACTCTTTATTCTGGGTGTAACAGCTCCTTCCTATAATCCTTGCCCTCTGAAAGCTGAAGCAGGAGGATGACTGCAAGTTTAAGGTCAGTTTAGAAGACAAAAGTGTGTAGCCTGAGCTACACAGAGAATTCCAGAACAGTCCAGGCTAAAGAATGAGATGGGACTTCCACAACAAACAAAAACTTACTCTCTGATGCCTTCTAGCAATTTGAAGTTTAGGTTGTCTTCACTTCTATCGAAGAAGCCCTTGTTGTTTACAAAGACCAAATGCCTTGGGTCCTTCTTTCGCTGGACAATGTGTGCTAAAGTCACAGAATTTTGGTCATCACAGTTTGGCCTCAGTCCATTCTGTGTACAGGTATCTTCCTTTCGAGGTCTGAATCCACAGCAATTGGTATCTAAGCGATTGTAAATCTGAAAATGGAAATGAAAACAAAATCCAAAATGCTGAGTAAAACCTTGGGAAAGCCAGAACATTTCCAAAGAATGGGAGCTTTCTGAACAGCTGGGCTGCCAGAATCCCAGCAGGCCAGGCTGACTTAATTAAAAGCAACTGTTAGAATAAGTCCACAGTTCAAAGCCCTCTGACTCAGATGTAGTCCTAAGCATTTCCAGCTTCTGCTAACAGCTCCAATGTCAGACCATCCAACTCAGGCGTCTCCACCCTTGGTATCCACAGTTCCCACGGAATCACATTCAAGCATGTAGCCAGCAGAATCTCTAACTCTTCAGGAGAGGAGAGACAGCGTCATACTTCTACAGACCCAGGGGGCTAGCTCTTGTTTTCTCCCTGGAGCTGGGCTCTACAGATTCTGATTACTTTGTTGGCTATAAAATCTATTATACTGGACTTCAGTATTGCAGTAGCTAGCTGGAAATAAGATAGAAAAGTCTGTAGGAGGTATGAGATCCAATAATGAAGCATCAGCTAAATTCTGAATATGTGACAAAGACTTTGGAAGCTTGTTATAATGCAGATGACTAGAATAGAAAGTGGAAAGATTGATTCAAACATTGTTCAGTGTCACTTCTTTTGACCAGAACAGATGAGGTTGTTACATAGAAGAACCCTGTCTCAAACAACAACAAAATGAAATGATCAATAAATATGTCCTTAAGAGTTAAATTCCAACTGTGTAGTCTAGTACTGAAAAACATTTCATTTCCCCTACAAATTTTAACACAATTGAACATGAACACATGGTGGTAATAATGAAGAGTGGTCTCCAGCCAGCATAACCCTGGCTAACAGTTTTGCAGAATGTAGTCCCTAGTCGGTTGACCTCATTGCCTTTGGACTTGTGGGAAGGCAGAGGAAGCTGAGAACCAAAGATAGGAAGAACAGTTATGAGGGTCCAAATCCTTTCTATGGCCTAACCTGATTACTTAAAAACTCCTACTAAACAGCACCTCTTAAAGATTCCAATTCCTCCCAGCAGTGTTACAAGCTGGGGACCAAGCCTTCAGTGCATGGGAATGTGGGGGAGAATTATGATCCAAACTGTAAGAAAAGCCATGAATATTCAATGTATTCATGTTTGATCATAAGCTCTCATAAATTCAGGCCCTGTCAGCATCTCTGAAAGTAATATATTTTATAGCTTTTATTTTTAAACCCCATGAAAGCATGAGCAATTAGAAGTGGGAAAAAATGACATAGGACATCTTTTTATTGCCTTCCCCAAGTTTGACTGTTTCCTACAGTATGTTTCAAAGTGTCCTATATAATTTAATTTTGAGTCATGAGACATTCTGATGATTTCACCAATTCCCTGACAGCCTGTTGTACCAGGCAGTTCTGACCAACATCACAAATGGTATGTGTGTACGTCCAGTTCATCTCCTAGGGATGTTGCCACTGATGCCATTCAGATTCATACTTGTACTTGGTGAGTACATTACCATGTGCTGAGTGTATATGTATATATTCCTAGAGGTATAACAGTCAGACTTCGAGGCCCCAAAGAATTTGCTTTTCTCTGTTTCCCTTGTTCTCTGACTAAAGTATGTCTTTCTATTTTTGTACTTGTTTAGCAATGGCCTATTAAATCATGCCCTCTTACTCTTCTCAGAGTTTTGTCATAATTTTCCTTCTGAGTCCCCATTCACTATACCAAGTAGCATTTGGCCACCATAACCCAACTCCTTAAAGTCAGCACCATTTGCCTGGCAGCTGGTATAGGTATATGCTAAATACAGTTCTGCATATTTTTAAGATGGCTCACCAATTTTTAAGCCTAATAAAGCACATCTCACACAACTATGAACCCCAGATGCAAAAGAAACACTTAAGTATTGCATAGAAAACCACTCACAGTGCCCATCTGCATCTCTCTGTTTTTAAGTGGATACCCTACAAAGAAGCCCGTTGAAGGGTAAATGTTTTCAGGTAAGCAATAATGATGTTTATCACTATTAGTGTTTGAGTTCTTATCAGTTCATTAATTTACTTATTTTATGTGGATACATGTGGTGGGTGTGTGTTTGTATGACAACCTCCACACATGTAGGGCAGAGGACAACCTTCAGATACAGTCTCTATCCTTGCACCATGCGGGTACCAGAGAGAAAACTCAGGTCATCAAGTTTGGCAGAAGGCACCTTTTCCAGGCCAGCCATGTTGCTGGCCCTGACTGAATTCATGCTTTCTTAAACTTTAAAACAAGGAAAATTATTTTTGCAAAAATAATCTACTGCTGAAGAGGACTGCCAATCATCATTTTCCATAAAAGTATTCTTTCCTTCTTTAGAAAAATACATCTTTTCAATGTTTACCTAACTAAAATTACACTCAGAAAAATCCAGGTGTTCCAGCCAATTTTTTGAAGAGATAGGATAGATATTTTTAGATATATTTTCTTCAAAAGCTTTTCCCTCTTAATTCCATTTTCCTTTAGTAGCAATAGTTTTGTCTGTAGGAAAAAAATATATCTTCTGAGTGATTTATAACTTCTGCTATAGCACCAAACCAAGGGAGCCTCTGTCTAGCTGCATGCCTCCCCAAGAGCCATTAGACATCTGCTGAGCACCAGCTCCTTTCTATACAAAGGGACAACACCCATCCAGCTCTGTGTTCAAAATTAGGTCCATCAAGGACTTGGGTTAGTTTATTCCTCTCTTCATTGTCTTCAAAGTAACACGATTAAACAACTAATCGCACACAATGTCTCAGCAAAGCAGTAGAAACTAAGTGAGGAGACTGAGCCAACTCCTCTGGGGTCCCTCTTGTCACAAAGGACAGAACTCAGGATTCCAATGCAGAAGTCCAAGACATCACCATGCTCTCATCCAAACTGATTGGATCTTCCAGGCATTGGCTCCCAGAAAAGGAAGAAAAAATAAAAGCATTTGTTTACATTTGCATAAAATGTTAAATGGTTCACTATTCGATCAATAATATTGATTACTATAAGAGTTTCAGAAGAAGTACAAAGAACTTCAGCCCAGAACTGCAAGGGGAAAATGCATGAAGGAGAGCTCATAAGATTTGAGTTTAAAGAGCCAGGCAGCATTAGCTGGAGAAGTATTTCATTTCACTCATGGACAAACGTGTTCTACGAAAGTGCTATGGATATTTCTAAAAGTGCTCACTGGCACTGTTTGCATTGGTGTTGCGGACTGATGTGAGGTGGCCTGGGTCCTTGACACACCCTGTACAGCGCAGTTAGAGTGCACCACTGGAAATGATGGGAAGATGAAAGCCAGCAGAGCCAGTGGAAGTTAGAGCGCTGAGCCCACACGGAAAATCTGAAAATAGATTTATCTGAAAACTTCCCCATTTTCTCACATTGAACTGGAATAACAGGAGAAGGCCAGTGAGCAGGGCATCGGGGGCAATCATTAAAAGAATGAGAACCAAAACAGAGCATGCTGGGAAGCTGAAGGCAGAGTATAATGAGGATGTTCTCACCAACATAGACAGCAAACTCCCATCATCCAACTGCTAAAACCTAAACAAGCTAAATCAGATAGACCTGTATATTGGCATCCAACTATTTTTCCTTCTTCGTTCTAAACTGGTCCGCATGAGCATATGTGTACAGGTGTGCATGTATGTATTTTTTGTTTAATAAGTCGGTATCTAAACATTCTTTTTGGAGGGGGTATGCATAATTTGTTAATTTGTGTGTGCACATATGTATGTGGTACACATGTTCTTACGTGTAGGAGCACGTGAAAGCTAGAGATTGGCTTCAAGTGTCTTTCCCTGTCACGCTCCCTGTTAGTGTTTGACAAAGGTCTCTAACTAAACTTGGAGGTCATTGATTGCAGTGGGGTCTAGCTGACTGGCTGAAGACCCTTCTGTCCCTGCCCTGTACCTCCTTCACTGGGGTGCACATGCACCATCACACCTGGAGTTACAGATACACACCCATCACCATGCCTAGGGTGACAGGTACACACCTACCACCATGCTAAGGGTAACAGGTACACACCCACCTCCATGCCTGGCTTTTATATGGTGCTAGGGATCCAGATCCAGGCCTCATGATGGATTGTACAGCAAACACTGGAAGAACCAAGCTATCTCCCCAGCTCCTATCTTAAAATCCTTACCATCTTTATTTGAACTATTTGGTTTAGGTTTTGGCTTTTTGAGGCAGAGTCTCTACGTAACCTTGGATGTTCTGTGACTTGCTAAGTAGATAAGACCCACCCACCTCTGTCTTCCAAATGCTAGGATTAAAGGTGTAAGCCACCACACCTGGCTCAATCTGTTTGTTTTTGACATTTAGAAACTGCCATCTTTTGAAAGAAAACACCAAATTTAAGAGGGGGGAAAAGCATAAATATTCAAGAAAATATGTATATAGATAAACAGCAGTTTGGCACAGTAATTTACCCGAAGGCTAGCATGTGGTGGGCAGTCAGTGAATGGCTCTTGATGACTGAGCTCTGCTCAGTGTTGTAACTCGCTTTGGATGTGACTGTGTACAGACCCCCACCAAAGCTGTGCCTTGTACAGCAGCGGTGGCATGTCAAGACAGGAGTTTACAAAAGTACCACCAGAATCAAGCCACCAAGCTGCCTCCGCACCTGCTGCTTGCTTGTGGGTAGTGTCTTTCGGTGGGTTTAACTGCACTAGCCATGGATCATGAATTCTCTATCTGGTAGAAAATCTGCCGTAATGCCTGGCATGTCATCAGCATAAAAGCAGGTAAAATGGAAGCGGCAAAGAAAATTCTTTCTTTTCTCTGACTGGCAGTTTTCTGGCAGATTTCCTCCTACTTTTCAATGATTTACTTGAATATCTCATTTGCTTGTCAAAGATACAGGCAGGAAACGGGTCTTCCTTTCAACAATTATCGTGAAATATTTCAAAAGGCAAAGAGACATAGAATCAAATTGGCTAGCACCACTCCAGGCATGGGAAGACACAAAACACTGGAGCTTAAATAGTTGTCAGAGCAACT